ATCATTTGTTATGATTCGAGCGTTTTTCCTTGGCATATAATTAAACAGCAAACCGCATGCGTAACGCGCGTGTACTGTACCGACTTTCTAACGATCATGAGGAACTTATAAAAATCATTTGGAATAACCTTATAAATAAATTTTGAATAAATTTTTCGCAAACTAGCTGTAAGTGGAATTCTGTCTTGAGGCAATTATGACATCGTGCCTTGAGGCAAATTGCTGGAACTTCCCGCACCGTAACGAAATGTTCGAGGATATTGATGTTTTCAAATAGATTATTATAAAATAGTAACATTGTCTAATATTTATAGAATTATATAAACGAATTGCAGAGTTGAAATTATTTCTAAGTATATTAGAACTATAGTCAGAATTAAAATAAAATCTGAAATATTTTCGATATACAAAATACTAAAAAAAAAAAAAAAAAAAAAAAAAAAAATTGGAACAAAATTTTTTTTTCCAAAATCAATATATTTTGTTAAGACAAGCAGAAAGTTCTTTGAATCATTTAAATCGGACGCTTAGTTCTCTCAAAAACTGCCATTTTTTTACATATTTAGCTCGTATCTTCGAAATGGCTGGGCCTGCCCTTTGCCAAAAACTAATAACACTTCTCCCAATCTTACTAATTGAAAATTTTTTTTAGATCATTCATCGGATACTCCGTTCGCTCAAATTCGATCTATTTTCTGCCTCTTTGCTCCGTATCTCCGAAACGGCTGGACCTGCCTTTGTCAAAACTAATCAGCTCTTTTCCCAATCAATAGGAATCGAATGTTTTTTTGAACACATTCAAATCGGTTGATCCGTGCGCCCTAAAAAGTGACTGGAAAATTTGTATCCACCATACATACACACACACACACACACACACACACACACATCCTTTTTTCTGAGGTATGCCAAAACGTTCAGAAAACCTTCAAACGTCGAGAAATGTAAAATTTTCATTCCGATTTCGGCCCATTACAATAACTTACCCTACGGGAAGTTAAAAAATATTAACCTGATAATATAGAAATATTTCAAATCAATATTATTCTTGATACTAAGTTAGTTAATAAATGCCACTCATATGCTAAAAATTCACTTCTTCAGCATTGAGTGACTTCTAATAAAAATACTTTGCTTTTAAAGACTTCAAATAAAAATGATAAAATTCATAAAATTATTATTGATATATGATAGAGCGGAGCTTAAAAGTTTCGCGGGTAAAATAGTCAAATGTTAGGAATTTTTTTAACACAATATTTTGCAAGTAGAAGGCAAAAGATGTATATTCATATAAAATCAAATTTCTTATACATTGGACCAGTCTATGGGCAAAGAAAAACAGGTAGCACATTTTTGAAAAATAGCAAAAAAACACATGTTAACTAATACTATCTTATTACGACATATAATTTCTACTATAAATTATTATTGACGCGTTCTTTTGTGAAATAGGTTGAACAATCAAATAATTGAGTTATTACTGTGAAATAACTTATATAATACGCTCTGATAGAGATATAGACCTGATTAATATTACGATTCGTTTTAGATTCGTAAACCTAAGATTATTTTCTCATTAAATTTATCACGCAAATTAAACATGAGGAAAATTTGTCTTAAACGGGGTCATGTAAGTTTTAAGTTTTTATTACCAAAGAACTAACTACTGTTCATTGTCGCTTATTAAATAATTTTGCAAGAATAATAGGTGTTTTTTTTGTTAATTTTACACGGTGTTAAGGCTGAGATAATAATTTCTTTAGTATAGTAAAATTTTAAATTGTTATTGCATAAGTGTTAATTGATTTAGCAGATTGTTGAAAGATGAAATATATATCTCTCACTTTAAATTTGTATCGACATTTCAATCGCATTAAATCTAGATATTTAAATGGATTTAATTATTTTGTAAGAATATTTAGTGTTAACTGAATTTTTAATAATCATTTAATAATCACAATATTTTATTTAGATTACAGATAGATCTATATACATTTACCATTTAATCTCTAAAATGAAAAAAAAAATTTTTTTTGACTAATGAATCCTCTTTAACACGTTTATCGCCACGATAATATCAGAAAATTTTTCATGTGCGTTTTGGTAAATTTATT